ATAAATATATCTAAAATAAATATGTAAAATAATAAATAACAATGAAGAACATACAAAAACAACAAAAAAAAATTGAAAATGTATTACAAAAAAAATAGAACGTGATCTTTTGAGCTTAGAACCTATGCCAATTTGCTGATATGGTTCCAAAAGTTATCAAAAACTTATATTATAAACATTCAATTTTCATCATCGTATTCTATGATCTCGAAGTCCGGAACTCCACCAAACCCATCAACATCATCAGTGCTTCTTCAGAACTTTGAAGCGTTCTATAAAATTGAAGGCAATCCACTTCCTGTGCACCTCTTCTACCTCTCCTTCTACCAATACATAACAATGCCCAGTATCATTAAATGCACTATGGATACCACTATTGTAGAACTAAGTAAAAAAGTTAAACCTCTTCAAGTTTACAAAATGACAAAGACTGATTTTTTTTAGTACAACTAAACTGGAAAAGAAGATTATCAATAGGAAGAAGTTTACAGACTCATCTAAAGTTAGTTGGCTACATACAAAAGAAATTAAGTTGGATAAAGATAAAATGTTTTCTATTTTTATGCGGTCTACGATGGAAGACGATTTCAATGAGTTGAAAATTGATAAAAGAATAAAACGAGAACTGCAATACATAAAAGAATCTGATTTTTGCTTATTGTGGCCTAACGACAAACCGATTGCTCCAGCGAAATTAGTGGACTTACAATCCATGTACCACTACATACCCGAGGATTGCCTTCAATTTTATAGAACGCTTCAAAGTTCTGAAGAAGCACTGATGATGTTGATGGGTTTGGTGGAGTTCCGGACTTCGAGATCATAGAATACGATGATGAAAATTGAATGTTTATAATATAAGTTTTTGATAACTTTTGGAACCATATCAACAAATTTTTGGCATAGGTTCTAAGCTCAAAAGATCACGTTCTATTTTTTTGTAATACATTTTCAAATATATTTTTTTGTTGTTTTTGTATGTTCCTCATTGTTATTTATTATTTTACATATTTCTTTTTGGTTTATTTTTATAAAATAATACACTTAAATTCGTTTTGGAAAGTTTATGCATAATTGCTATTTAACAAGGTTCATACAAAATTAATTTAGCAAAAACATTTCAAACTCGTTTTACCTATTTATATGCCCCTTGTATTATGTATTTACAAAAAATATGCATATCATTCAATAATCAGTTTGGCATTCCATAGTTAAACCAATAGTATTTGCCTGAAATAATTACAGGGAAAAAGTGTGTAAATTGCAAATTGGGGTTGCTGTGGGTTGGAACATTTTCGCGTTACTACGTCCAAATATACCATAGTTATTTATTTTGGTAAAAAATATCTTTTTCTCTAGAACATATTTAATAGCAAAAATGGATCAAGTATATGTGGATTGTTTATAGCAAAAAATTTGAAAATAATATATTATAATAAAAGGTTTCAATTTATTTAGAACAGTGTTCGCAGCTTAAAAAAACAGTATGGATTAATCTAAAAGGTTTCAAATTACATGGAACATTTTTGCAGAAATAAAAAATGTATAAAGATTTTGCAAAAACGTTCCAACCCACATGGATCATTTAAGAAACCATTAAATGTGCGTTTTATGAATTTAGTATAATGTTCCAAGACAAGTGGAACATTATAACGATATGTTATTCTATTAAGAGTTTTTAACAATATGTTTCAGTATGCATGTAATGTTTTTACTTTATTTTGAGTACACGTCCTTGGCATAATGGTGGGTTGGAACATTTGGGTTAAACTTTATTGATGAAACTAACTTAAAAATACTAGCATCTTTGTGTGCACATGATGTAATATGGCAAAAATAGTACCCTGGTTATGGTAACTCATTTTCGAGTGACTTGTGGGTTGGAACGTTTTCGCGTAACTACGTCCTACTGATGTTAACTTTTCAACGGTCCGCGCGTAACTGTGAACAGTGTGAACCAAGAAGTGCTCGAGTCGTGTCAAACACTTCTTCATACAGGCACATTTTGAGCGCTACTCGCACACCTCTAAATCCAGCCGCGAAAACCGGACATGTTTTACTTATGAAACCAGACCAAACAGCTTAACCTAACATATTATTTTCGATAAAAGTTAACAGAATGCCAGATAACAATTGTTTTGTTAGTGAAAAAAAAAGATATTTTATTCTGAAACTCAATATAGGCACATAACACAAAAACTTATCAAAATAATCATTTAAGTTTTTATTTATGTTTTACTGTTTCAGATACCATAAAACAATGGTTTGCTGACTGGCAAGATCTCTCACTAAACTTGAGAGATTACAACAACAAAAAAAACTTGTTACAAAATGCATTGAGTAGTTGTGAACTAGAACAAATCAAGGAAATTTTAGCAAACAAACCTATCACATAATATTTCTGACAAATATTATTTTATTACTTAATCTTGAATCACAGTATTCTGCTATCCCACTAATATTATAAATGTGAAAGTTTGTTACGCAAAAACTTCTAAACAGATTTGGATGAAATTTGGTACGCATATACACTGCTCATCACAAAAATCGACCCACATTGTTTTTGCACTATTGCTCTTTTTAATTTCAAAGATAAGCGTTTTGAAGTAAGTTACTTTTGATTCCCATAAATCTTTACGCACGTGAGGATACTTAATAAACTTTTTTACAGTAAGCACTGCTCGGTGCCGGTTTCGTCAATGCGCCAGTTTTCACTTTGGCCCAGTTTAATTTGCAACCGGTGTTTGCAACAGAGTAATTGTTATTGACTTACTTTAATGATTATCACTGTAATTCGGGCATACTTTTAATTAGGCTGGAATTCTGGATACTACTGAAACTGAATCGGTCCAAGTTGTGGATTTGCTGCGAGATGGTTTCAATCAACGTGTTGTCGCTCGAAGATTACATCTCAGTCAATCTGCGGTTCGGAGTGTTTACCAGAGATTTCAAGAGTCTGGGCAAAACCGCAGAAGAACCAACTGAAAGACAAAGGATTGCCACTCAAAGAGATGACCGTTTTATTGTGACATCGACTCTTTTAAAGAAATCGGCACCTTTTTGGTGAAGATCTCCAGTGACGGCTGCGTGAAGTGCGGGGTGTGGCTATAAGTGACAGTACGGTGAGAAAAAGACTTCCTTAACAGAATTTAAGACCTCACAAGTCAGCAACAGGACCACAACAGACCGTAGCTCATCGCCAAGCCGGACTTCAATTCACGAGAGAACATCTTGAATGGACTATAGACCAATGGGCTATTTAGTTCTATTCTCTGATGAAAGTCTAATGACATTATACGGGTCAGAGGGGCGCCCCGTAATGTCATTATTAGTATAAACGTAAGGCTTAGTCCTTTAAAAGAGAAATTGTCAGTAACGGTAGAGGCTCTATAATGTTTTGAGGCGGTATATCTTTGACAGCACGTACAGAGCTGGTGTTTATCAGAAGGGGCTCTCATATGGCTCCACGTTACTAACGGAGATCCTAGATCACATCGTGCCGTATGCAGGCTAGATCGGAGATAACTTCGAGTTAATGCATGATAATGCACAACCACACGTAGCGCTTATTGTTACTCAGCACTTGGAAGAGGTCGGCATTCGGGTTATGCAGTGGCCAGCAGTAAAAGATCGAACTTAAATCCTATACAGAACATCTGGGAAACGTTAAAACAGAAGCATAGAGCTCGAGAACCCGCCCCTATAATCTTGGAAGCTTTGGAAAGCGCTATATGTGAAAAATGGGATCAAATTCCTCAAGGAAGCGACACCTTTTTAATAAGGTCAATGAAAAGGCAGCGAATGCAGCCCCACTAGCATGACCACCGAAACGGGATATGATAAAGCGATATATCGATGTCGTGGCCATATCGTAGATTTGCTCACTTCATGTAATGCTCGAGAATTTCATGAAATGGTCACATTTCATGATGTGGCCAACTTAATTAGACCAGATCATTAAATCGTCAACATTTAACGATTTGGTCATCCATATCGGATCGGCCGGATCATTTAAAAATCCAGAATATCTAAGAACTTGTTTATTTTTATTTAAGTCCGAATGACACAAACATATTTAATCAAATTTTTGTAACAAAATAAACAAATTAAAGATTTTTTTTCCTAAATTGAACATCAAACATGTCAAGAACTTACACATTTATATTTAAAAAAACTATCAAATATTTAGAAATAATAAGGTACTTTGGTACATATTACAATAGTAGACTTAACTGTTCTTCCAGGGCCCAAACGGTAATACTTCACACTAGGTTAGTGTTGAGCATGTCGAGACCATGACGCGCGAGCCGAGCGAGCAGAGCGAGCGTGCCGCGGCAGCGGCCGGCGAAGCGCCAGAAAAAAAAATCTACTAAAAGAGACCTTTTCTACAAAAGAAATTCAAGTATCACTTCTTGGACCCTGGATGTACAGTTTTACAGTATATCTTTGTACGGCATTGATTCTCATCCGCACTTTGTACCTCAACCGCAGTTTCCAAAATGTCATATTTTGACAGCCAGTAATAGTCCATAGATTTCTTTTGCGTAGTCACCCTACTCTCCTTAATTTGTTTCGTCGAAAACCCTTTTGTTAACTTTCTTCCTCATTAAATAACGAATTATGCACTTTTTCACTGCGAGAAACAACATTGTCGGCCGCCATATAAATATATAAACAAAGCGCTTGCAGCGCCTCTACCGGTAATTAATGTAACTACTTTACAATATGATCAAATAATTTTTGCCATTTCATGAAGTAGCCACGCGTTTAGTTGGCCATATCGTGAAACGATTTCTCATCATTGATCTGCCCAAACCACATCATGATGTGGCCAATAGATAGTGAAACATTTCATGAAATTCTCGAGCATTTCATGAAGTGATCAAATCTACGATATGGCCACGACATCGACATTAACTGGCAGACAGACTACTGTCAAACTCCATAGTAGTCTGATAGTTAATGCCGATATATCGCTTTAAAATATCTCGTTTCGGTGGTCATGCTAGAGGGGCTGGTAGTGATAGAGCAAGAGGGGGGAACACCGAATATTGACGAGAAACTTTTGTTCCAATATCGTGTAAGATTAAAAAGTTACAGTGTTCAACACGATCTAAAAAAAGGGTTAAAATTGATATTTTTTTTTTTGATAACATGTTAAAATTTGATAATGATCAAATTTTAACGTGTTACATTAACAGATGAAGAACATGTTAGATTGATAATATTGTGACTAATTTGTAACAAATAACGATTATAATACAAATTAATTCATTCAAAATATTAAAACGTGAGTTTTCGTGTAAAATTAAGGTGGGCCGATTTTTATGATGACCAGTATTGAGACAAAGGATAATTTTTATTTTTTACCCTGCAAAAATCTGCGATTCTGAAAAAAACTAATGTTACGCGGGGGCCGCTAGTTATAAATAAATGTGTTTTTTTGACGTGACAACGTCTTAAATTAGGTTGCGGCTGGGAGTCACTTATGAAAAAGTGTAACGCTCGGTAACGTTACGATGAGTCTCTCGTGTTAAGTTTAAGTTTACATGTACAATGTTTTAGTAAACAAAATATATTTCTATAGTTAAAATTTGTGCAATTCTTATTTTCATTCAATTCCTTGTTCCTATTGTGCAATTTAATTATATTCATATCAATAAATATTCTACCGAGAAAAAGACGTTGTCACGTAAAATCTTTGCCCGTAAAACCGACTTTACAGGCAACCATTTTTTTTGTATGTTATTCAATCCCACAAAAACGGTAGCTCACGGATTTGGATATATGGAATACAAATCTAGTTTACTACATGGATTGAGTTCTTTTCTGGAAAAATTTTAGGTTCCTGTGGGCTTATCAATCAACTATAATGCGATTCAACTAAGAATATTACCGACTGGGCGTCATATTGTGACGTCATAGATGTCAAATCAAACGAAATAGGTAGAGTGAGCAAAATAAAAAAATATTTAATAAAACTTATTTACTAAGATTGAGAAAGAAAAACAGCCGATTTTTAATAATATTTATTTATGAAAACTGTGTGAGAAAAAACATTAAATAGAATCTAGCTCTTCAGTTCCGCTCATCACTGCATTACCTTTGCCATCCTTTATGCATAGAGTATACTAGTATACAGGGAACCTTTATGTAAACGAAAGTTTTAAATCGAGTTTCTGAACGCTACTTAATCATTTGTTTGACGATTTAGGTTATCTATCATTATTTCATAGCCAAAGCTCAAAAAAAAATAGCAACCAATATTAATTATAAATATTTGTTTTTGTTATTTTACAAATGTTTTTATTCTAGAATTAGCCGAGTGCTAAAAAAGGGTTTCCAAGATTTTTTGCAAACCGTACTTTTCAAGCGACATTTGACAGATGGAGGTCATTGGCTTTCCTATTCATAATTGAATCGCACTATAACTATAACGCAAACTGAAGCTAGTAGAAAAAGAAGGTTTCATGTATTATACTGAAATTTATTTAGTTAATAAAGAATAAGGAAAGCATTTTGCTAGTTGTAAATCAAAATTATATAATGCATGTTTGTTATCACCAACTCGGTTTAAATGAACTATTTTATGGGCAATTTCATTAACAGCTAATATCTGTTCTGATAAAAATTTGGATGTGACAAATTCAGCACATTGATGATCATAGTATTTTTCAGCTAAACACACTAGGCTCCCCAATTGCTGTAAATAAAAATAATTTTAATAACTCTTGCAAATATAACAAAATTAAACGCACAAATAATATATTCACAAAAAAATTACCTCTGTTACATTTTTTTCCAATTCCAGGGCTTGTGTAAATGCATTTAGCAGTGTCACATTTGAATCTATTGAAATGACATTAATATTTGGTGTTCCCCCACGAATCAATTGATAGTTAATCAACTTTTTCATGTGTCCTAATTCCTCTCTGTACATTTTCATAAAATATCCACCTGCACCTATATATGAAACACTAGGGTGCAAGAATTTTGTTGCCACATCCAAATAGAATAAAGCAGCTTGTTTTTCACTTTCTATTTGCCTGTTCACAGCTTCTTCTACTTCAATACTGTAGTTACATTTATAAGATTTGTTTCTTGATATTTGAGTAGAACATGAATTTGACTTTTTCAAGGAAAGGATTATATTATTAAGTATTTTTGTATGTATTAATAACAAAGAAAACATTTTAAAAATCTTCTGATATATTTTAATATTTATAAATTTTCAAATTTAATGTCAATAAATATATCTTATCAAGTTAGTTAAGACAAAACAACTATGCTGGTTCAAACTCAAATAAGCTTTAATAACAGTAATCTCTTGTTAGTCAAAATTCCAGTTTGTGACTGTCATTGTATTAAATTATACTAGCAAACCAGTGAACCAAATGTTCACCAAAAAAAAAAATGTATTTAATTAATTGAGAACTTCGGAGATTTTGTGTGGTTTCGTTTGAAATAGAAATCACGTGATTTCTCGAAAACCGGAAGTGCTACGTTACTCACATCCGGTTTGTAGTCTTATCAGACTATTCTTAACTTATAACTTAAACATTCTCTATATCTATCTCTTACGGTTTGGCCGCTGAAACAGCACCACGGACGGACGGACGGACTTGTCTAATAGATAAGAGATTATTTATATTGTAATGATGGTTAATCACACCAGTAGAATGGTAAAAACAAAAAAAATCTTTGATGGCTCCTTAAGGATTTAGCCAATGACTAGTATATGTGCAGGGGAGTATCCTTTTTATGCTGGTCTGGCATATTTTTGGATGTAAACAAACAAAGCAATCTATTTATAAAAAAAAACTGCAGTTCTGTCTTCTTATGTTATCCCCTATAATCTAACATGTCTATAACAATATGTACAAAGATGATTTAAGAGATTATTATCATGAGATAAGAGAAATGTACTTTTAATATTTTTCATGTGTTATATAATTGGAGTCATCAAGAATGAATTAATTTATAAATTATAAATCTGATGATAATGGTGTGGATACTGGCGTGATTCTCTAAACTTAAAACGAAATTTAACATCAGTCTCCCCTTTTCTGTATAGAGAATGACAGGTATGCACTGTAGTCAAATTTAAGTTTAGCTTTGAAGAATCATACCAGAATCAACATCAATGTTTCTATAAATATATATATAATTCGTGGAATTTAAAGGCACTTCTTTAGGTTCCGAACTAAAAGGAGTGTGTGCTAGTATACTCCAGTCTGGCAAAATTGATGACTTGATACCACCTCCCAAAACATTGATTACTTTACATTACATGGGATATCAGAATAATGTATTTTAAAATTGAAAATGTGGGTTTTAGCCTCACAGGGCAGGAATAAAAAGATAAAGTTTACCCCTTTTTAATTTAACAGCCCCATGTGAGAACTCAGATTTTTTCACAAAAAAGTTTGCCACACCACACCACTATTACTAAAAAGTCTGCATTATTAACATTAACTCTACTTGACAGCAGGTATTTTAAAACTAATACACTAATATTAATAAGATACTAATATTTGACTATTAGGTCATTACTTCTGGAAGGGATAATAATCCAGACCTGAATTATATTTGAATTTATAAGTGAAACGATTAACTTGAGTTTTTCCGATTTCTATCATCTTTTGAACATCTTTTCTATAAGCGGGGGGCAATATTTCTTCTTGTAATGTGCAGGCATCTTGATTCTCTGTTGGAACCTTGAATACACGTTGGCGTATGATATCAACATCACGACTGTACTCTTCCTTCAAATCGGAAACAGCTTGAGATGCTGTATCCACTTTGAACACAAAATAATTTGCTTCTCTGTGTACTAGTCCATGAGCACTAGTTTTATATGGCATCGAATTAAAGCCCAAATTATCAATATTTCTAATAATACCTCCACGATCAAATATTGCGTGAGATATGCGTTGTAGACAAACTTTGAGCTCTGTTTTTGGCATTGCTCGTATCATGATAGCGAATTCGTATGCAGGCATTTTGTTTTCACTCACAATACCATGGATTGTAACGAAAAGCGTGAAGCAATTGAACTTAAAAATTAGGTTATTTCCATTTCCAGTGAATTACTTTTCTTTCTATATTTTTTTTATTATTATAATGGCTCGCACGGTTTGTGCATTGGCCACGACAGGGTAAAAGGTAAGGAAACCAAAATAATGAAATAAAATGGTTGTGAAACGGAATTTGGAAGGATTAGGATCAGGTAGGTACGTAAAATTAATTTGAAACGTAAGTAATAGGTCTATTTAAGTATATAAAATACATTACATTATTTGTTATAAATTAGGTATTTATAATTTTATATTATGTTTAGTTAGGAATTCAGATAGCTTGTTATATATATTATAATTTTTATAATACAATAAGGAAGGAATAGAAGTAGGGAGAGGTACATTAAGGGATATTAATGAATCCATAAAAGAGGCGGAATCATTGAGGGGACACTCGAAGAAGATGTGATTTAAGTCTTCTGCTCCAGTACCACAAGCACAAATATTATTATTTACTATGCCCAGTTTAGCCAGGTGGGATGAAGAACAGTTATGACCTAGGCGCATTCTTATGAGACTTGATGTGGCAAACTTACTTAAATGAATTTTAGAAAACCATGGTTTATCGGGAATACATTGTTGAATTAATTTATAATGTTTACCTTTGATGCGACTACTAGTATCCCAATTTTCTTCCCAAGATATGCGTAGATGTACTTTAGGAAGTAAAACAAGATCATTTACTAAATTTTTATAGGGAAAGACGTCACCACAATTCACTGAATCTTTAGCGAGTTTATCAGCTACTTCATTGCCTGTGATGTTATGATGGCCAGGTATCCACGCAAAGAGCACATTTAGATTCTTCAAAGTACAATTCAGTAATAATTTCCTACAATCGATCAAATAGGCGTTAGAAGAAGAAGCTTTGAAAGGAAATTTTTCTATTGCCTGTAAAGTGCTTTTGGAATCGGAGAAAATAATTGTCTTTTTGAGTTGTGCAAGCAAAATGTATTCTAATGATTTAAGGATTCCATAACATTCTTCTGTGTATACTGAGGTTTCTGGGGGTAATTTAATTTTTTGTGTTATTTTATACTGTTGGTGGTAAACACCGATTCCAACTATCCCAGTAGATGAATGTTTAGATGCGTCACAGTAAATGTAATGCCAGTCTGGCCATTCTGTATTAACAATACTCATTAGATTAATATTAGCATTTTTATCATTACGTAAAGAGTCTAAATAAATTACTTTGGGTGAAATGGTAAGAGCTTTATAATTAATAGAAAAAATGGGAAGATATTGTGATCGGTGGGTGGGTGCTAGCAGTGAAGTAAATTTAATGTAGCTGATTACCAAGCAAGGAAGCGACTTGTTATTCCAATATGCCGAATTATTAATTTTACGCAATAAATGGTCTTACTTGTTAAAAAGAGGGTGGTCAGAAAGTGGAAGAGCTCTAAATAGAAAATCACATAAAAATTGTCTCCCCAGTTTTAAAGGAGGATCCACACATTCAACCTGCAGTGCATTAATAGGGCTTGACTTCACGGCGCCAGTTACAATGCGAAGAGCTTTAGACTGGATGCCATCTAACTTACTTAGTGCTAATGCACTACAGGGCTCCAGAAAGCAAGTTCCATAATCAAGGATACTTCTGATAATAGCATTATATATTAATTTTTGTGTTGATAGATGAGCTCCACACCAAACACCAGATAGGCATCTTAAAATGTTTAATAATTTTTCACATCGAGCTGATACATAAGCAATGTGATAAGCCAGTTAATTTGGTATCTAGAATGATTCCTAGAAATTTAGCTTCATTACACACTGGAATTATGTCATTACCATAATGTACAGAAAATGATGGGGGTGATCTTATTCTTGTAAATAAAACGGCAAAACTTTTAGAAACAGAAAGACTCAGTGAGTTATTATCTAACCATGATTTTAAGAGTGTTAACACATTACTTAAAGATTGACTTAATTCAATAATAGATGATCCGGATACATAAAAATCTAAGTCATCCGCATATTGTAAAATGTTAGCTCTACCTGCGATGTAAGACTCCAAATCATACGTATAGACATTGTACAGTAAAGGGCTCAAAACTGAACCTTGAGGTAGTCCTCTCCATGTCAGCCTAGATTTAAAATTGCCATCTCCCATATCTATTTTTATCAATCTTTCCGAAAGAAGGTTAATAATGAAAACGATCAAAAACAAAGGAACTTCTAGTTTTATAAGTTTGTTTTTTAAGATTTGGATGTCCACATTGTCGTAAGCACCAGATATATCAATAAATGCAGCAAGAAAGGAATGATTATTTGAGAAGGCTAATCTGATATCAGTAGTGAAAATGCCTATGCTATCCATGGTGCTTTTACCTTTTCGAAAGCCATACTGGCTGAAAGCAAGAAGAGCTTTACTTTCTAAGAACCATTCCAATCTGTTCTTAACTAAGTGTTCTGCTATTTTAGAAGCCAGAGCTATAGGTCTATATGAATTTGGATCTGCAGGGGGTTTATTATGTTTCAATAAAGGAATTAATTCCTGAGTTTTCCATGATATAGGAATTTCGTTATTAACCATAATAGAGTTGATCACTTGTAATAAGTAAACAAAACGTGTAGTTGGTAAAACTGTATCACGCGCCAACCCCACAGCGCGGCCTGCGCATTTTTCGACTTGCTTGAAATTTTGCCTGCGCAAGCCCGGCCTGCGCGTACTTGTCTGTGCGTGTGGTTGGGCGTTCAGTGTTCAAGCCACAGTCGAGTGTACTTTGTGTCGAGGCTCGCTTGTCGTTTCATGAGGTCGTTCGTCATCGTCACTCAAAAATGGCAGATTTGAGTACGTACAATCGCGAATTCACGTCTGAATTAATAAGTTTATACAAATCTCTGCCTGCACTCTGGAAAATTAAATCTAAAGATTATTCCGACCGAAATAAAAAGAACGACACCTACGAAAGAATGATAAATAAAATGAAAGAGGTAAGAACATAATTTTTGCAACTAAATACCTATGCCTAATACCTACTACCTACCTACTTGCACATATTATGTACATATCCTATTGTTTTACATGTTTTTTTTAATAGCAAACACTTGAAAAATAAGCATAAGAAATGTTTCTTCATTAGGAAACTGTTAGAGCGACAAATTGCTAGGAGTTTATATTTGCGTGTAATCTCATTGCTGTTATTCGTATGGTTTGTGGTTGTCAGAATTATTTGAATATACTGACTGACATGCACTTCAAGTTTTGGTTGTTACTTGCTTAGATACGTTGTTTGTACTCATGTGTTCTATTTTGTTTGTAAATATATATTAAGTCAATATTAGCTGGCATTCTTTATTTATTATATATGATCGAGGTTATCTAGTCCTCGATCAGGTTATGGGCCGCATATGATAAATATAAGAAGACTTAAAATATGGCTACACAAGGAAATAGTATGAAGGTAAATTCGAGCAGCGATGGATCGGAGAGATCTCAGCCTTCACACGACACAGGTATGAGCATAGAGAAACTCGATGGAAATTCGAATTATAGTACTTGGAAATTTTTGGTAGAATTATATCTAATTCACGATGATTTATGGGAGTACACACAAACAACGCCAGATAAAACTGATGTAGTAGGCTGTAGGAAAGACCAAAAAGCGAGAGCAAAAATATGCTTGATGGTAAAGCCCCACTGTCTGATTCACGTTCGAAACGCTAAGACAGCTAAAGAAGCGTGGGACGCTTTGAGATCGGCTTTTGAAGATAAGGGTCTTAACAACCGTTGCAGACTTTTGACCAAGTTAGTTAGCCTAAAACTTGAACAATTTACATCAGTTAGGAGTTATGTAACAGAAATAATGTTAGTAGCGCAGCAATTACGGGACATCGGTAAAGAAGTTGACGATGAGATGCTAGCTGCTCTCATGTTACAAGGTTTGACCGAAACTTTTCAACCAATGAGGCTTGCGATTGAAAACTCAGGAGTAGAGTTGACCACAGATTACATAAAAACCAAATTACTTCAAATGGAAGATTCGTATAACACTAGTAGTTCAAGCAGTAATGATATAGCATTGCGTGTTGATACACATAACAAGACTAGGAGATTTCCATACAAGAAGTCACAGAAGATAAAATGCTTTATTTGTAATGGACCACATAAAGCGAGAGATTGTCCAGAGAACTCAAAAAATAAGAAGGCTTCGTTAGCATTGGGACTTGCAACTTCAGGAAAACCAGACGAGTGGATTTTAGATTCTGGGGCATCAAGCCATATGACTAACAGCAAAGAGTATTTAATGGACGTTAGAATGTATGACAAAAAAGTGGAAATCGGATGTGCGAATGGTAGTAAAGTATATGGTATTGGAGAAGGTTCTGTGGTATGTAAGGAGAATGTTGCAGGCGTAAGTGAAGTGATGTATGTACCACACTTAGCAACTAACTTGTTGAGCGTGAGTGCTATTGTAAAGAAGAATGTAGTTGTTGTATTTTCAGCGAAAGGCTATGAACTGTTGAAAGCGGATGGATGTAAGGTTACTGGTGATGTCTTATATACAGGTGTGGAGGATAATGGTGTTTATAAACTTAAGCTCTGTTCACAGGAGAAAGCACTAGCCTCGACTGTCAGTACCATAGACATAGAGTTGTGGCATAGACGTATGGGACATCTTGGTGTACGGAACCTTAAGCTGCTGAGAGACAAATTGGCTACAGGGGTAAGTTTTACTAATAATCCAGTTAACTTACAGTGTAGAGCTTGTTTGATGGGAAAGCAGACCAAACAACCGTTTAAAAAGGGTTTAGCAAACAGAGCTGATGATATTTTAGGTTTGGTTCATACTGATGTATGTGGACCAATGAGTAAAGACTCAATGTCGGGCTGTAAATATTTTCTAACGTTTATTGATGATTTTACAAGAAAAACTTTTGTATATTTTATCAAAAACAAAAGTGAAGTCTTTCAAAAATTTTTAGATTTCAAGACATTTGCTGAGAACCAGTCTGGAAAGAAATTAAAAATTCTTCGATCGGATAATGGCAAGGAGTATGTCAATGAGCAGATGAAGAAATTTTTGAAGCAGTGTGGTATACAACAGC